ATGGAGAGAGAGGGGTGGGGAATACGATGAGCTCATTCTGAGACTTGAGTTGGACTTGGGTTTGCTCCCCCTGCGGAGCTGTGTGGCGGATGGTCAGATATAGGTGTGGGGGCTGAGCGTGAAGGTCAGGGCTAGCGCTAGCCCACAGTGCACACGTGCTCAGGAAGCCGGCAGTGCACTGGTAAGAATGTCTCTGAGCCAGGGCCAAGGGCACCTGAGGAGCACAGATGCTGTGTCAGAGGGTTGAAGGGTCTCAGAGTTCAGGCAGAAACCCCTCCTCCCAGCCCCTGGCCCCTGAGTGTTATGCGCTCATGGCCTGTGTCTGGTCATAGTTATGTGGGAAAGCCTGCTGGACCACGGGGGCTTCGGCTGGCTTAGAAAATTGTAGGAACCCTTATGTGAGAGGCTGTAGAACAGGTTTTAGACGATTTACTTTACCAAGGTCAGCCACGGCTGGAAGCGCAGAGGGCACCTGGCTCTGGGAGCAAGAATATTTCCCAGAGGCTTGAGGGATAGGAGGCCCAAGGAAAGGGAGGTTTCGGAGTGGGTTTTCCCTGGTGAGCAGGTCTCCGATGTGCCCCTGAACAACTTGGCAGGCAAAGCTGATGCAATTCTTGTCCAAATCTTAGAGAAAGAGGAGGGGTGTCTCCAGAGCAGTGTGCCACCACGCAGTGGCGCCCGCCTTCCTGTGTGAGGCCACACGGTAGACTTTGCAGTCAGGCCGACTGAAATCCAAAACATCACTCTTCTGAGCCCCCACTTCCTCCTTTACAAATGAAGGCTATAATAGTATCCACCTCAGGCTGTTGTGAGGATTAAGAATAATGCAAAGCTCCTAATATAAAGTCGGTGTTCAATACATGGCCCCTACCTTCTGTGGCTGCTATTTTTATCTGGGCGACCACATGGGCATAGGCTGGTCCCAGTCATTGCTGAGTTGTACTCTTTTTCAGAGATTCAGTGCCAGGTGGGGCAAGAAACTGAAATCTACAAGTCTGTTCACCATCCTTTCACATACATTTGTCAGAAGTGGCCTAGCGGGCAGATACAAAGAAAGCATTTCACAAACTTTTTGCTGTATACACAAACAGTCGATTGAGAAAGCATCAGAGGGGCAGGGATTAAAGTCAAATTGTGAAACGCTGAAGAGGAAATAATGCATCCCCTCCTCTGTCTCCCTTGCTTACCAACAGCCTCCTACTCTTCCTCCTCGTTCTTGTGACCCGTTTCATTTATTTATTTATTTAAAGATTTTATTTATTTATTTTTAGAGAGAGGGGAAGAGAGGAAGAAAGAGGGAGGGCAACAACAATATGTGCTTGTCTCTAACATGCGCCCCAACTGAGGACCAGGCCAGCAACCCAACCAGGCATGAGCCCTAACCAGGGATTGAACCCAGCAACCTTTTGCTCTGAGTGACGATGTCCAACCCACTGACCCACACCAGTGAGGGCTCTCGGGCCCTGTTTTGGAGCTATGTGAAGTGTTTCCACACGTGGATTCCATTTGCTCCCCACAGCGCCTGTGAGGTAAGTAGGGCATGCGTTGCCTGCAACAGGGAGGAGCTAAGCTAATGACAGAGCTGGGAGTTGGAGCCAGGTTTCCCTGTCATGGAACACGAGCAAACTGTGCCAGGTTAAACTGTCCCTTGGATGAATGGGTTAAAGCAACCTGTGGGGCAATGATGCGGAGGTGTTGGAGTCAGCTGTTTTGCAGGGAGACGATGATAACAAGTAGCACCTGGCTGTATGCTGTGCTGTCCAGCACAGATGGGTGGTCACGTGTCTGCTGTATTGATGAGCAAATTGGAGGCCCTGATGAGGCAGAGGCCAACTTTGCAGTTTGGATGACACGTAGGTGGATTGATTTCAAATGCTTCCCCCTTTCAAGGTGTTGTAAAGGACAGAAGTGGTGCAGGTGGCTTAGTTACTCCAGAGGCCCCCAGCTGGAGGAGTGGCAGAGCCCTGGGGCTTGAAATCAGTGCCTTCAGTCTCCTGGCCTTTCTCACCGGGGTGCTGAGAGGAACAACCTGGAAAGCACTGATCAGTGCACAACATCGTTAAAGGAGCTAATGCTCAGCTTCACGTTTTCCAATCGAGTGGGCCTCCAGGGGAGAACTAGTGAGAGCCAATATTGTGGCTTGCACTCTCTCCTTATCAGCTGTGTGACTGAAGTCAGTCCCTCAGTTCATTTCCCACAGTCGGTTTCCATCTCTGTAAAAGGAAGACATCATTCCTGCCAGACAGATTGTGGAAATGACAGAAGCAGCGTATGTGAATGCATTCTGGAAACTATGAAACAGTACCATTCCAGATCTGTTGAAAGCTTTGAATAGTTACTTCCCGGAGTCCCCCAAACCCAGCTCACTCTAGGACCCTGAAAGGCCTGGCTCTGGTGGGAGGTGGGAGTAGAGAAGGTGGTTCTTTTTTGGTCTCTCCGGCAAGCAGGCAGGCGGGAAAATGGAGGAGGCTGGGCTCGCTCACTACCTCGGTCTTCTCCCCCAGCTGAGGGGGAGATGGCGGGGGAGCTGGCATAACCTTTTCTTTGGTGAGTCAGCTAAGAAGGAATTTCTAGAGCTCCAATGATGTATAAGTGGTGGTTTGAGTTTGGATTTTTAAAGCCGCTGCCTCTTTTAAAGCGGCCTTAAGACACAACTAAAAGCACGAACAATTGGGGAGCACTAGGAAAATGAGAGAAGCACAGCTTCTTACTAGTGTGAACCTGAGGAAACCGCTGAGCTTCCCTGGGCCTGTTTTCTCATCTGTAAAATGGGGACAATGCTACCTCTTTCGCATGGTCATTGTATTTCTTTAAAGATTTTATTTCTTTATTTTTAGAGAGAGAGGAAGGGAAGGAGAGATGGAAACATCAATGTGTGGTTGCCTCTTGTGTGCCCTCTACTGGGGACCTGGCCCACAACCCAGGCATGTGCCCTGACTAGAATCGAACCAGTGACCCTTTAGTTCGCGGACCAGTGCTCAATCCACTGAGCCACACCAGCCCGGGCTCACTGTATTTATAGTATGTGCTGGCTCCAGTGCCTGGGCCCCAACTGACACCCAATACCTGTCCATTTGCTTTGTCTTCCACGTGGACAGACTGCAGTCAATGGGCTCAGATGACCAGAAAGCACTTATTCTTCAGTTGCTCCATTCTGGTATAACGGCTGCCATTATTCATTTAATTCTCACAACCCCACGGGACAGCTCATCTAGAGACCGAGGACACAGGGGAGTGGTTCAGAGAAGTTTTACTGCCCAAAGTCACACAGCTTGCAGTTTTTTAAATCCTCACTCTAGGGAATGCTGATTGATTTCAGAGAGAGGGAAAGGGAGGGAGAGAGGGAAACATTGCTGTGGGAGAGAAACACTGATCGGTTACCTCTTACACATGCCCTGACCAGGGACCGAAACTGCAACCCAGGTATGTGCCCTGACTAGGAATCAAACCAACGACTTTTTGGTTTACAGGACAATGCTCCAACCACCTGACCCACACTGGCCAGGACACAAAGCTTGCCCTTTTTTAAAAAAAAATTATTTCTTTATTTTTAGAGAGGAGAATGGAAGGAGAACGGGAGGGAGAGAAACATCAGTGTGTGGTTGCCTCTCTTGTACCCCCTACTAGGGACCTGACCTAACCCACAACCCAGGCATGTGCCCTGACAGGGAATTGAACCAGCAACCCTTTGGTTCACCAGCCAGCACTCAATCCAGAGCCACACCAGCCAGGGCAGTTTCAACTTTTTAAAGTCAGGATTCATGCCTACCTTGTCTTGTTTGCTTTTTAGATAATCAAACGTGTGAGGGGGATCAGTCTAGCTGGATATTCTGGAAGGCTCATCTTTAAATAGACTGGGACCAAGGGGGAAACCTCAACCTGGCCCATTTGGAGAATGAACTCGGGGTGGAGCTTCAGGGGCAGGAAACAGGTCATCGCCAGAGGCAGCCTGGCAGTCATTGAAAGAGCTGAAAAAACGACCGCTTGCTTCCCAGATCCCTGGGGAATTTCATCTGTGCTCTCTCACTTTCAGGAGCTTCTGTAGAGAGAACAAGATGAGTCTTTTAAGTAGTATACACGTATATTATCGGTAGTCTTCTCTCATCTCCCACTAAACACGACCTCCTACTCATCGCCTGACAGCCCTCCACTTCCCACCCTAAAACCACAAGGGAACCACGTCTCCTTTCCCAACCCTCCTCCTAAGCTAGACTGCAGAGGCTCCAATAGGCGGGCTGAGTCATCTTCCTCTTAGAAAATCAAGTGTACCAAAGGCACATAGAGCAAAAGTATGTTTTCCATACAGATCTTTGTTTTAACACATGGCTGCTTTTTTAAGGTGTCACCCCCCAGAGCTGAGGACATGCCTCATGTCTACTGCAGAAAGTAGGTACCTTTCAGTGTTGTCTGTGCCACATTTGGGCGTCAGCACTTGACTGACCAGCAAAATGACCACCACGGCACAGCGACCACTTCAGGCTGTGCCAGGTATTGCACAGCACACGTAAGGAGGGCCCAGATGGTGTGTGGAGGCCCCTTTAAGAGCTACACTCCACCTGAGCTGCTCTCCTCCCTGGGTAAGAGAGATGGCAAATCCTCCCATGAGGGTAAAAGCCCTGGCCTCAGATGCATATGCAAGGGCAGCTCTCACAGTGCCTGATCGGTTTTTCTCATCTCTCCTGGCCAAGGCAGGGAAGAGCAGGGAGACGGGATTGTTAATCTCACTTACAGCAGGGCAAGTCCTGGCTTTTGGTGCTCGCCCCTTGTAGAGTGGTGTTGGGTCACCGTACAGTGCTGGTGTAGGAAGAGCGAAGGCCCCAGCTTGTCTGTGCAGCTCTGAGGCTGGGAAATCACTGCTCTGATCAAAGGGAGACAACCAGGAGCTCCGCATAAGCCCAGGGACCTAGAGCCGACCCCCTGACCCTGCCACACACACACACACACACACACACACACACACACACACATAAAACACTTGATACCCATATTTCTGCACAGGCTCTTGTAATACAAAGCACTTTATTTTTGAAGAATTCATATAGCCATTGCCTTATACAGAGCCCACTTCTCAATACTCTTTTCTTTCCACTGAAGAAACTGAAATACACGATTGGGACCGTGCCAAAACAAGAATCACTGGTTCATCATCTAGGCTACAAGTACGCTTAATTGCTTGCCACTTTATTTGAATGCAAAGCAAGATTAAGCGTCTTTGCCTTCCGTGTGGTACAGAGCTAAAGCCTGAACCCGGGTACTGACTGGGAAGACAGCACATCTTTTCTTTGAGGGGAGGAGGTGCGCCCCCTGTCGTCCCGTCTCGTTGTGGGAAGACTAGCCCATGTTCTGTCGGTTGCCATAGCCCCTAGGATGGGTGTCCTTCCAGTCATCCCACTCCCGAGCTCGCTGGAGTGCTTCCTCATCATCCTCTTCCTCCTTTTGTTCTCGCTCATCCTGTTGCTGAGCTGCCCTTCTGACCTCTGCCAAAGTAGAAAAATGAGAAAGCGTGTATGAGAAACTGAGGAAACTCAGCGCTACTCTTCACACATGAAATGAGAACAAGGAACAGAGCTAGCTGCCCAGGCTGGGGCTAGCGGAAGTTGGGTGAGTGCTTACATACCTAACAGGACATGATAAATGATAGTAAGAAAGGACGCTCTAAGTGGTTTTAACAAGAAGGCTGAAACATAAAAGTGGCCCCTCAGAATGAATTCTTTTGGGGAAAGAATTATTGCTAAAATGGCTAATACTGTCCCATCCTGCCTTCCAAAAAGAAAAATCCACAAAAAGCAAAAGAAAAACCAACCAACAAAACCCCAGCAAACCCAAAACACTAAAAGTAAAAAATATTTATGACTTCTTAAAAGACTATTTTATTTTTTAAAGATTTTATTTATTTATTTTTAGACAGAGGGGAAGGGAAAGAGAAAGAGAGGGAAATGTCGATGTGAGAGACAAGATCGATTGGTTGCCTCTCGTACGCGCACGGACTGGGGACCTGAGGGGCAACCCAGGCATGTGCCCTGACTGGGAAAGGAACCAGTGGGCCTTCTGCTTTGTGGATGACACCCAACCAACCGAGCCACGCCAGTCAGGGTCAAAAATACTTACGCTTTTATAATTTGTGATATACTAAGGAGAAGGGACTGCAGGTAACTCCCTGTCATACGCCCATTTCCTATTACAGTTATATAATTTTGTACATTTTTTGAGAGAGAGAGAGAGAGAGAGAGAGAGAGAGAGAGAGGGAGAGAGAAAGAAACATCAATTTGGTGTTCCACTTATACTTTCATTGGTTGTCTCTTGTCTATGGCCTGACTAGGGACTGAACCCACAACCTTGGCATATCAGGACAACACTATAACCAACTGAGCTACCTGGGTAGGCCTACAGTTACATAATTTTGTTTGTGTGTACAATTGGAAATCACGTGGCAGTTAAACCTACTACAAAAGAATATCCGTGTTACTTTGCACATGCTTGGAACAGGGTATGAGGTCCAAACAGTAGTTGTCATGCAGTGTATACCCAAAACAAATTGAACCAACTGCAACATCTCTCTTTTGCATTAAATTTTTCTCTTGTGATGTGAAGGAGCATTTCCTAGAGACTCTGAGTTGGCTCATGAGAAGGTTTCACTACTGTGATAAAGAATGAAATGGGTGGGGATCTGATCCAACAAGTTAGGAGTCTTATGTTTTCTTTTTTTAAAACGACTTTTACTGTAAAATAAAGAATACTGGAAATTGCGCACACACACATTATATATATATATGCACATTATATTCCCTTCCCCTCTCTCTAGAAATAAATAAATAAAATCCTTTAAAAAAAAAGCCTTGGCTGGTGTGGCTCAGTGGATTGAGTGCCGGCCTGTGAACCAAAGGGTCCCTGGTTCGATTCCCAGTCAGGGCACACATGTCTGGGTTGTGGGCCAGGTACCCAGTCGGGGGCGTGTGAGAGGCAACCAGACATTGATGTTTCTCTCCCTCTCTTTCTCCTTCCCTTCCTCTCTGTCTAGAAAGAAATAATTTTTTTAAAAAAGTCTTAGTTGTCAAGGACAGAGGATAAGAAAATTAGAGTATCTCATAATTACTCATTTATATTACCTCACATTACATAGTATTACACAATATTACACATTACAACACTAATATTGTCTGTTACCAATCTAGTATCTGAGAACAGTTCATTTTTTGGCATATGCTTTCCCCATGTCTCCATTTAAACAAAATCTACATTGCCCTGGCCAGTGTGGCTCAGTTGGCTGGGCGTTGTCCCACCAAGCGAAAGGTCGCCGGTTCCCATTCCCAGTCAGAGCACATGCCTGGGTTACGCGTTCAGTGCCTGCTATGATCAGTGTATCTCTCTCACATCAATGTTTCTCTCCCTGTCTTTCTCCCTCCCCCTCTCCCTAAATATAAATAAATCAGCTCTTTTTTTTTTTTTTTTACAAATCTACATTATGTGAATACTGAGCACCCAGGCATTACATACTTTACTCTCTCCCTATTAGCCCTCATTCAGTCTCAGTTCTACCCATAAGTACATAGTTAATGCTTGCCACCAGTCCTTATGGTAATGTCTCTCACTATTTTGGTTGTCTGAAGCTCATTCTCTAGCAAATTCCTCAGGAAGGAGTAAGAAGAAGAAAAGTTCCCAGGTTTCTGCATATTGATAAATGTCTGTAATCTTCCTATTGCATTTAAGACACATTTTACCACATATATATCCTTGGCTCCCATCTCCCCCCCCCCCCCCGAGTATCTTAAATACCTGTTACTCCATTTTTTGTCTGGCATAAACTGTTAGTGTCAAAAAGTTTGAGGGTGATATAATTTCCTTTAGAAACCACCGGCTTTTTTTTTTTTAATTTTACTTTAATTATTGTTCAAGTACAATTTTCTATGTTTTACTCTGAGAAACCACCTGTTCTTTTTGCTAAAATGTCCATGGCGGTTCTTCCTTTCCTTTGCAGCGTAGTACTTTTATTAGCCTTTGTTGTTCATTTGCGGTCAGAATTCTCAGGCGCACGGTATGATTTTTCATATCTAATCTTTTTTGGTTTGTTGGTTTCTTAAGATGAAGGAAACTTTCTTCCATATTAGTTTTTAGCCTTTATTTGTTTTCCTTGCTTTGGTTTTCTTCCTCAGGTAATCCTATTATCATCCATATGCCAAGTCCTCCTTGCTTCCTTTGATATTTGTCACTTTTTTTTGCAAATCTTTTATTTTTATTGAGATAGTAGTTCCCATATTTTATCGTTTTATAGTATTTTTTACCACTAACATTTATTTTCCTTATACCCTCTTCCACCTCTACACAAATAAAATAAAATTTCTCAAATAAAATCTTTGGGGGAAAAAAAAGATCAAATGAGATAATATATGACACAAGGAAACTGAGGCTCTGAGGGACCAGATGATGTTCTATCAGATGGGAGGGGTTCTGGGTTACTCCCCGGCTCAGTCTGGGCTTTTCCTGTTAATACCATGCTGCTTCCATCTCTCTAATGACCACACTGTTCGCCACTTCTCCCTCCCCAGGGCAGCTCCAAGTAACTGCTGTGATGTAATGACCAAGCTGGGCACCAAGAATCTAGTAATTCAAAATTGCTGTCCCGCCCTGGCTGGTGTGGCTCAGTGGACTGAGTGAAGGCCTGCAAACCAAAGCTTTCGCTGGTTCTAGTCCCCGTCAGGGCACATGCCTGGGTTGCAGGCCAGGTCCCCAGTAGGGGGCGCACAAGAGGCAACCACACATTGATGTTTCTCTCCCTCTCTTTCTCCCTCCCTTCCCTTCTCTCTCAAAATAAATAAAATCTTTAAAAAATTAACATTGCTGCCCCAAAGAAGTTCTAAGTACCGCTCCTTTCTTGTAAGTGTGGACTACCCTCCAGTTTGGTTGCTGCCCAGTGCCTCCAGGTAGCTGTTCTGTTAGTCTGTCCAGTTTGTAATTGTTAACTGTAGGAGGGGTTGACCTAATCCAACCTTCTCTGCCAATTCCATAGTACACAGATGGCAAACACAAGGCCCGTGGGCTGAATCTGGCCCACCACCTTGTTTTACCTGGTCCAGCACCTTGCTTCTACCCGGTGGCAGCACCAAGCTCTCGCGTAGCTATTCAGGAGTATTTACAGTTATACCGTCCTAAAATTACATTCGGCCCTTTGAAGGCAACCACGAAGCTGATGTGGCTCCCGGTGAAAATGAGTTCGACACCCTTCGTATAGCAGAACTGCTCTCTGTGGATTTTTGATTTTGCTATCTAGCTGGTCCGTGTGTTTTTCTGCCATGATATTTGGATAGCTTCGAAAACTAGACTCGTCCACTGCCCCCATTCCTCCCAGAATTATCTGCTGTTTATTTTACTAATAAATGAAGTAAAATACTACCTAGAGTGTTGGTGTTACTTAGAACCTCTGTCTAGATTACTTTCGCTCCTAAAGCACGGCAACACTTGGTCGGAATTTAACCGCTGGGGAGTAAGTGCCCAGCAGTGGAACTATGTTCCTCCCAGCCCTTCATACCTGAGGTTGTCTTGGGTATTCCCTGATCTGGTAAAGCTCCCACCTTCCGATGCTGATCATACCAGTCATTCACTGTCATAGACGGCAGACTTGGATAACCAGCTCCAAATACTCTGCAAGAATCACAAAGTATTAAGAAAACAACATAAATGATGGTATCAAAAAGCGTCTTTTCTTCATTGACAAAGCCCAGGCCTGGTTCATATTCCCTCCCCTAACCAGTCAACTGCTGAGGAGCTGTGCGAACTCTTAGGAGGATCTGTAAAAAGAGGCATCCAGGAAGGGGCATGAAAGTCAACAGTTTTCATGAGACGATAAAGAGCCTGGATCATCTCCCAATAAGCAATCCCCGAGGTCAATGTCCCACAGAGCAGTATGGAGGCCATGAAACAGGTATTTGTAGTCGGTGGGTCTAAAAGGTATGCAGAGGAAGGAGACTCTCCTGCCACTCTATGGGACAGTGTCTCAAGAACTCAGATGGGCCCACATGTCCTTTGGAGAATTATCACCGAAGGCCATAATGGGAAATGATTTTAAAAGGTACAATTCTCCATCTGATTCCTTTCTGTGCTTGGTTTTTAATTACTCAACTAGGTGACTGATTATTTTCATTGGTTTCCTTTTGAGCCTCTTCTGAAGCTCCGGTTTGTGAGGGAAATGCCTGCTGATGACAGAAAGAAAGTACTAGAAGAGATATTAACCCTTTGATGAAAGAACAGCCTCCCAGGTGAAGCCATGCCTGTTAACAATGCCCATTCTGTCTGTTACCATGCACTGCAAGGGAACCATAAAAGCAAGGGGCTTGCAAAGGCAACCCACTTTTCAGCACAACCTACTTGGCTTGGGCGGCATTCCGAGTGAGAATAAAGGGTTTCATTGGAGGCCTGGCCTGAGGAGTGGAGCCAGAAGCTGATGCCTAAAAAGGAAATTAACTATCAGAAGTATATCTGCCTTTTGCCCACCCCACTCTGCAGCCTCTTAGGTCTTTGGGTGCTTAAAAAGCCCTGGATTCAAAAGTCACTTACTCCCTACATATCAGTCTCTGAGACACAGCAGCAGAATACTGATGATGGCGACTGCTTAGCTTTGCTGAGGACACCTAAGTACCTTCCTGAGAGAAAGAGAAATCTCTCCCCAGAATCATCTCCCCGCAAGGGCAAGTTTACTTGGCTGTAAAATGCCCTCCTGCCCTGGCTGGTGTGGCTCAGTGGATTGAGCGCTGGCCTGTGAACTGAAAGGTTGATGGTTCGATTCCCAGTCAGGGCACATGCCTGGGTTGTGGGCCACATCCCCAGTAGGGGGTGTCTGACAGGCAATTGATCAATGTATCCCTCATATGTTTCTCTCCCTCTCTTTCTGGCTCTCTAAAAGTAAATAAATAAAATCTTTAAAAATTTTTTTAAAATAAAATGCCTTTCCCAAAGGAGATGCCAAAGCCTTCTTCCATGTTCCATGTAAATCCCTTGAGCTGAATTTTAAGCCCCTTTCCTCACCCCAGCCTTCAGTGCTGAAGTTCAAGTATAACTGTTCTTCTCAAACCCCTTCCAATTGTAATTATGCTATTAACTGTCAAAAACCCCCTAGGGCAGGGGTATCAAACTCATTTTCACCGGGGGCCACATCAGCCTTGAGGTTGCCTTCAAAGGGCCAAAATAAGTTTAGGACTGTATAAGTGTAACTCCTCCTTAACTGTTAAGGAGTTGAAATTACATTTGGCCTTTTGAAGGCAACTGCGAGGTTGATGTAGTCCCTGGTGAAAATGAGTTCGACATCCCTACCGTACGGTCCTTTAGAAATGGATGTTGCTAAATGCAAGGGTGGGAGGAGAATGAGTGAATACTTTTCCGATGTAGCTGTACAGAAATCTTTCAGGGCACTCTGGCTGTCTGGGTGTACAACGACACCAAGTCTGCTCAAAGAAAAGGTATTTGGTAGGCGCTCCATCACGCGCAGGGCCAATCTCAATACTAAATGAGAGAGCATGGGAAAAAACCCCCAACAAAACAAAGAGGAGTGCAGGGGAGGACCCAGAAGAGTCCAGCCTCTCACTGTGTAAAAACCATGCTAAGGCCCTGGTTGGCATAGCTCAGTGGATTGAGTGCCGGCTTGAGAACCAAAGGGTCGCCAGTTCAATTCCCAGTCAGGGCACATGCCTGGGTTGTGACCCAGGTCCCCAGTAGGGGGCGTGCAAGAGGCAACTGCACATCGATGTTTCTCTCCCTCTTTCTCCCTTCCTTATCCTCTCTCTAAAAATAAATAAATAAATAAATAAATAAATAAATAAATAACATCTAAAAAAAAAAAAACCACACACTAGGATATGCTCAAGGGGCCTCCTGGCTTCAGAACACTAATTGCTCTTTTTTGATCCTTTAACATGAGGAACTAGGTTGGTGTTACCCTGAGGCAAAAGCTCCTGGGCTCATTAGTACAAATCAAAATAGGAGAAGGTTTCTCATGAGAACTTAAACACGTGCCAGTAACCAGCTGATAAATTCGATTCCATTCATGTCATATCAGAGCCAAAAAGTTAAGTGGCAGCAGAGCCTAATCTTTGGAAGCATCAGCTCCAAAGCAGGATTATGATCTTGTCAAAGGCAGCCGGAGAAGCTGCGGTCACCACGTTGTCTTGACCACTGTGCGCACGGAAGGCCTGGCCGAGTCTCACACTCCGGTGACCCAAAGGTGGGAGAGGGCATCGCAGTGTTAAGAGTTAATTGCGATTCCTTCCCCCAAGCGAAACACATTCCATGCCTTTCGTTTTATCATCTTTCCCTCTTTTCTCTCTCCTCTCCAGGTCTGCTTTTCTTCTCCATCTCCATCCTAGTCCTCTTCCCCTTTGTTTGTTTATCTGACTCAAGCAGATTTTTAAAAGCCTATTGCCTTGTGCCTTCCTTCAGCAGCCAAGACTTCCCATAGAGCCAAAACCAACTTTTCCTTCAGAGAACTCTCCCGCTCCCATGGCATGTCGCAAAATTACAAACGAGTAACAGTGTGTTACAGGGTAGACAGCACCGGGGGATGCTGCTGTCAACTAGAGAGAAAACTACCCTGGAGAACCTCCAGCCTGCTTCCACTGACCCTTTTTTTTTTTAAAGATTTTATTTATTTATTGTTAGAGAAGGGAAGGGAGGGAGCTAGAGAAATGTCAATGTGTGGTTGACTCTTATGCGCCCCCTACCGGGGACCTGGCCTGCAACCCAGGCATGTGCCCTGACTGGGAATCGAACCGGTGATCCTTTGGTTCACAGGCCTGCACTCAATCCACTGAGCCACACCAGCCAGGGCTGATTCCACTGATCTTAATAAGGACAATGGTTTTATGGAGACATAAAAGTATTTTGATTTGATTATTGTCCTTCAGAACATTGTAATCTCTGACTTTTGAGCCATAAAGGCAGTCACCAGACTTACCTCTTTAGGAGTGTCTTTTTCCCTCAGGATCTTGATCTCCTGGTCAATGCTGTCGATCTCTTCTAAGCTGATGCTGATCCACCTCCGCAGGTGCAGGAGGTAATACTCACGAACATGCTCGTCGTCTGCTTCCCCGCTCTCCACGGCAGCTTTCATGGCAGACAACCTGTGCTCCATCTCCTTCTTCTGCTTGTATCTGGGCCGTGGAAAAGCATTACCCGTGAACTTAAACACGAAGAGGTAGTCCTTCAAAAGAAGGCCACAATAAGATCTTACCTTTGCAAATGATCAGGCCAGTCAGCACGCCAGTTTCCACTTTGGCAAAAATATAGATTCTTTACCCCACAACTTGCCAGCAAGGCAGTTTTCACAAAAGACTACGAGGCAAGGAAGGGATCAGCAGGGGCTGAGAAATACATCTGAAGCTAGAAAAACAGAGCCGCAACCTGATCCGAATGATTCGTCTCATCTTTACAGATGGAGTGCTGTAGTCATTTTCTATCAGCCTTTTCTAGCTTGGGGGCTTACTACCAAATAATGTCCTTTTTGGAATCTCAGTGTCAGAGAGTCACAGAATCTCAAGGGTCAATTACCTGCCATTGACACAGGAATTCCTTGTGAAATAGCCTTAAAAACAAACAAACAAAAAAACCCCGATCGTCTCTTCTTTTGTGCTGGGCAAAACATCCCCAGCTCTTCTGACTCATCTTACTATAATTTAAAGTCTCATGACCACCTTACCTACCTTTTTCAGGATGCATTTTAGTACCTCATCTATCATTCACTCCACAAATATTTACTGAATACCTATTCTATGACAAGCACTGTTCTCAGTGCTGGTGACACAGCTGTGTATACAAGAAGGCCCTTGCTCTCCTGAAACTTCTGTTGTAGTGGGAGACAATGGACAAGAAGAAAGAGATGAAGACTCAGGTGGTGATGAGTGCCATGAAGAAGCAAAAAGGTAAAGCGGAGAAAGCGATGGTGCAAAACACAGGGCTGCTATCGTATACGAGGTGACCCAGCGACACCTCTCTGAAAAGGTGACATTCGAGCAAAGACTTTGAAGATATTGGGAAGCAAACCATGCCAGTATCTAGAAGGGTCTTCTGTTTTCTTTTCTTTTTACTGGAGAAAATGAAGGGGAATTCACATAAGCATGTAAATTCCAAAGACAGTGAAGCAACACTGGATATGTAAGACATTTTTGGAGAAAGGAGAAAAGCGGGGGGGACAGGGTGTTAGATTTCAGAAGTGAGTGGGCGATTTGTGTGTAGTTGAAGAGGGGAACACAGAGCAGGAAAATCCCCCTGGGCAACTCAGAAACCGTGGGACACGGACAGGGGGGATCTGGCTAACAGGCCCCTGCCCAAAGCCCTGCTATTTACCGAACTTCATTCAGATCAGGCAAAGGTGGCATCCTCAGACCTCCTTCCTGAAGCAGGTTCTCTATCTGAATCTCTTGGGTGGGAGAGGCAGGCAGGCCAGGGTCGGGAGGGAGGCAGAAATCAAAGGTTCTCCGTCTTGTTTCTTAATCAACAGCTTGAAATCAGTATTCCCAAAAAGGCTGCTTCAGGGTGGCAAAACTTTGGTTCCCTCTGGAAGGGTGTCTGTTCTAAGGGGGGTGGGGAGCAAATATGAAGGTCCCAGGTGGAAGAGGGCCTGGCCTGCTATGTTTGAGAAGACGCAAGGAGGACAGTGTGGCTGGCAGGAAGGGAAGCGTGATGACCGGAAGTGAGGTCAGATAGACAGCCATGGCCATAATTTGTAGACCCCTGCAGGGAGTAAGACCCAATGAAATGCCATGCCATTTGGAGTGTGGTAGAAAAGCCACTGGAGGCTTTGGGATAGAACACAATAGGAAGACAGTGATAGGGAAACTTGTTTATATGGGCCAACTGGCTGAGTGTGTGGACTCTAGACTAGTGGGGTTGGGAGGCAAAGGGGAAGCAGGTAATCAGGTAAGAGGGCACTCCCACAATCCAGGTGACAGACAGTGACTTGCGAGAGGGAGGTAGTGAGATCTGATGCATTTAAAATATAAAATAGAGCCTGGCTGGTGTGGCTCAGTGGATTGAGTATCAGCCTGCGAAACAAAGGGTTGCTGGTTCAATTCCCAGTCAGGGCACATGCTTGGGTTGCAGGCCAGGTCCCCAGTAAGGGGGCACATGAGAGGCAACTGCACATTGATGTTTCTTTCCCTCTTGCTTCACCTCTCTCTACAAATAAATAAATAAAGTCTTAAAAAAAATCTCTAACTTCACCTTTCCTCTTGTCTGGACGGCGCAGCTGATGCCATCTTGTGTGTGTGTTTTCTTCTTTAGAGAGGGGGGAAGGGAGAAAGAGAAGGAGAGAAATATCTATCACTTGCCTCTGTGGTACATGAAGACTGAACCTGCAATCCAGCCATGTGCCCCGACCAGGAATTGAACCAGTAACATTTCACTTTGCAGGACACCACCCAACCAAGTGAGCCACAGCAGTCAGGGCACTAATGCTGTCTTTAGCAGGGAAGGCAATGTCTTTACCACTCCAGTTTTGCTGTGAATCCTGTCCCCACCCACAGTCTTCCAGGCCTTGCTCCATCAGTTACCTGCCCCGGGCATTAGCAGTTACGATTTTTTTAAAAGATTTTATTTATTTATTTTCAGAGAGGGAAGGGAGGGAGAAAGAGAGAAACATCAATGTGCGGTTGCTGGGGGCCTGTGGCCTGCAACCTGGGCATGTGCCCTGACTGGGAATCGAACCTGCGATGCTTTGGTTCAGACCGTGCTCAATCCACTGAGCTATGCCAGCCAGGGCCAGCAGTTACAATTTTTCACTCTACAGGTCTTTTCCCCATCCTAGTAACACCTTCCCCCAACCACGTTCTACCCCTTTTTCTTCTATGCTATAGTGGAAATGGCACCCGAGCTGGGGATTTAAAGACTTGGCCTTAAATCCTACCCTGCACTTACTAGCTATGTTACTTGGACAAGTCCATTCTCAGAGCCCACATCTTCATCTCTAACATGGGGCTATTTGCTTTGTGGGGTTGCTAGGAGGATCCAATGGATCAACACACACGGAGGTGCTTTGTAAGCAGCTAGGTGATACAAATAGTGTCAGCTGATAAGAAAACTGAGGCCAGTAGGGGCTAGACGATATGCCACCCATGAAGTAGCAGAAATTGGACTGGTCTTGCCCTGGCTGGTGCAGTTGGGTGGACTGAGTGTCACCCTGTGAACCAGAGGTTGCCAGTTCAATTCCCAGTCAGGACACATGCCTGGGTTGTGAGCCAGGTCCCCCATGAGGGGCACGTGAGAAGCAACCACACATTGCTGTTTCTCTCCCTCTCTTTCTCTCCCTTCCCCTCTGTTTAAAAATAAAATAAATAAAATCTTTATAAACAAAAGAAATTGGACTGGTCTCCCCAGGTCTGTTCAACTCCCAAGTCCAGGCTTTTCCTGCCATGCCATATTGCTCTACCTGTCCCTCCCAGAGACACCTCAAGTACCTACTATATATGGAATTACTGGGCTGGGCACCAAGGATACAGTGATACAGCTGGGATACTCAAGAGATGCAATTACTCATGGTCTGACCTTTAGGAATTTCAAGTCTAGAGAATCACACACAGTTGTCGTAAGTGCCATAAACTAAGTACTGCACTATCTGGGAGGGGCAATAGGCAGTGAGAAGCTTTAAGGACATGACTTTTGCTCTCTTTCCTGGGCTTCGACAAGTACTTCTGTCTGGACCTTGTTACTCAACAAGGTCCAGAGTCTCTTACCTCTGATTGCTCTTTTCTTTCCCTTCCTTCCCCCTGAACTTGCCCCCAAGGTTTTATCCTTGGCTTTTTTCTCTCCACACGTTATGCCTTGGCAAACCACACAAGCCCACCATGCACGAAACTGTCTCACAAGTTTTAGTTACACAGTCCCACCTGTCTATGGAGACGGCCAGCCAGCTGTCCCTTTAGGACCTCAATTCAGTACATTTAAAATTGGACTCATCACTTACGTAGCTCCTAATCTTCTGTTTCAGGGTGTCAAACTCGTTTTCACCAGGGGCCACATCAGCCTCGTGGTTGCCTTCAAAGGGCCAAATATAATTTCGACTTCTTAACAGTTAAGTAGTTACATTTATACATTCCTAAAATTATTTTGGCCCTTTGAAGGCAATCTCGAGGCTGATGTGGCCCCCGGTGAAAATGAGTTTGACACCCCTGCTCTATTTCTTCTAAAAGAATGCAGGTGCGGTTAACCAACCAGACTTACACTTACTCCTCCAAGATGGGATTGAGGGTAGAAAAGATACATGAAGAAACAGGTTTCGAGTGAGAGGTGTTTTATGTAGCATGGCCTCACTATGCCAAGTTGTGGGGCGAGGGAGGGAGGACTTACAAAAAGCAAATAAGGATCTCAACAATTATTTTTCTATTTGTATAAATGCTTCTTGCAAAAGTCATGGCTCTGAGAGCTATACCTTCATTTTCGTTACTTCTTCCACGTTGAAGTACTACCAGAACATGTTAACTTCTCTGCCAGTCTCCTCCTCGTCCATATTCTATACATGTCACTTCCTCCGAGCTTCTGCCAAACGAGACTGTTCTCCATTCCCTGTACATACCTCCAACTGCCTTGGGCTTTTGCTCATGTTGTTCCTCCTGCTTGTCAACAATAAATATTTCTTGAGCACCTTCCATGCGCCAGGCCGTGCTAGGCACGCCACAGTGAACAAGAGAAACGGCTCCTGCCCTCCTGGAGTGTACATTCTAGCAGGGGAGAAAGGCAAGGCCCCAAAAGACAGTTAAACGAAGGGCATTCCATGCAAAGAGAACATGCGCAAAGACTCTGTAGAAGGAAGGAGCTGGGTCTATTAAAAAAAACTGAAAGAAGGCCACTGTGGCTGGAGATAATGAGCGCAGGGAGTGATACACGACGACATTGGAGACAGGCAGGCGCCAGGCCGGGCAGGGCCTTGTTAGTGCTTTGGCTGTTTCGGGTGAGAGATGCTGGTGGTCTAGACCACGGTATGAGGTGCAGATGGAGAGAAAACAGAAGGACGTGACATCCACGTTGTAGCTAGAACTGGCAGGCCTCGCTGCTGGACGGGATGTGGAGGTTCAGAAGGGAGGAACCGAAGCTAATGTCTCAGTTTCTGGCTTAAACAGGCAGGTGAACAGTGGTAAACCTAGCAAGATGGTGAAGAGCTGGGTCTGGGAGGATGTTTGTGGGTTAGAAAGCCAAAGGTTTGATTTAGGGCAGGTTAAGTTCGAGCCGTCTGTGAAAACTCCATGGAGGGTGTTGGAAGTACGAGCCTGAAGGCCAGGGGAGGTCTGAGCTAGTGATATAAATGTGAGATCCTTTAGCAAAAAGATCATGTTGATATCTTCCCTGGCAGGCATTTAAAGAAACTGTTTAAAGATCAAGTTTTCTAGCCAAAGAAATGCCAATCAAAACAATGAGATACTTTTGTCTGTCCAATTGGATTTTCTAAGTGTTAACCGAGACCAGTACAGTGGGACATGCTCTGAGATATGTTATTGTGGAAAGCAATGCTGTTAACATCAAGAGTCTTAAAATATTTAAAACCTCCAATCTGGTCACTGGTCCTTCCACAAATCTATGCTAAGGAAACAGTGACAGATGTAGCTAAAGATAATTGTTCATAACATTACTCAGAATAGCAAAAACAAACAAAAACCAAATGATAGTCTAAGTATTTGATAATAAAAGATTAGTTTAGCCCTAGCTGGTGTGGCTCAGTGGACTGAGTGCCAGCCTGCAAACCAAAGGGTCGATGGTTTGATTCCCAGTCAGGGCACATGCCTGGATTTTGGGCCCCGGTAGGGGGCACATGAAAGGGAACCACACATTGATGTTTCTCTCCCTCTTTCTCCATCCCTTCCCCTCTCTAAAAATAAATTTTAAAAATATTTCTTTAAAAAAAGATAAGGTTAACTACTTATGGTATAACTATGAGATGAAATATTATGTACCTATTAAAATACCATGGTTTCAAAAGACACAGGGAAATGCTCACAATATGTTAGGTTAAAAAGAAGATTAAAAAAACTGTATTTACAGTGTTATTCCAAATTTATTAACTAAAATAACTACATATCTGGAAGGAAATACATCAGAAAGTTAACAAAGATCATCTCTGAGTGCTAGGATAAAGGCTTATTTTAATTAAAAAAATATTCTTCTGTTTTTCCAACTTTCTACAATGAGTATTACTTGTACATTCAGGAAAATCTGTAATCTCTATTTCTAACCGTTCTTCAAGGCTCATCTCAAATGCTGTTGCCTTCTGAAACCTCCCCCATCACTCCAACCAGATGTGATCGCTCCCTGGTTTTTCTCCACAACGTTGTTTGTTATCTCTAGGGCACATGCCGTCTTTCTTGGGGGGAGGGGATATATTATAATTATTTGGATACCAAACTCACTGTTTACATGACCTTTTTTTATGCCAGTGGGCTGCCCTCACCTTCTTGCAAAGCACGTGATGCTGAATTCCACTTTCTGCAAGTCTATCCCATTTCCTCAAAAATCCTCCGCTCTCACTCACTGGTCCCTAACCACGCTTTATTATTCTTTATAGCCCTCCCAACCTGAAATTACATTATTATTTAGTAGCTGTCTGCCTCCTTGCCAAAATACAAGCTCCATGAGGGCATAGACCTTGTCTGGGTCTCCACGACCTAGAACAGTCCCTGGCACACAGGAAAGGCTCAATAAATAGTTGTCAAATGAATGAACCCACTTTCAGCTCCCTATCAGGTCTCTCCTGAGTTTCATGCCACCAAACACCTCTACTTGGATGTCTTCTAGGCACCTTAAATGCAACATGTCTCAATACCAAATTTGCTCTTCCCTGATCCCCTGTTCTATTCTTCCTCCTCTATTCCCCATCTTAATGAGGTCCTCAGCCATCCACCTGAGTCAGGAGCATGGCCATCTTCCGTGCTGCTTCCTTCTGCCCCGCCGTCCTCGACCATCTGATCACCAAGTTTTCAACAGATGCAACCCTCCTAAGTAAATGTTTCCCCATGCCTTCTGCCATCGCATGGCTGCAGTGGGGCCTCATCATCTGTGTGCACTAATGGCATCGGATCTGCCCCCTTGGACTGGTGCCTGACTGCTACCGGGGCGTGCTAGTGAAAATACAAATATGGCCATACTACTGAAAAAAAAAAAAAAAAGAAAAGAAGAGAAATGAAAAAAGGAAGGAAGCAAAGAAGGAAAGGAAAGAAAGAAAAAAAATACAGTGGATCCAAATCACCAAGCAAAGTCTAAGCTCTTTAACATGGACTAACATGTAATATTTTAACATTTACATGTTAACATTATACTGATTACATTAATGTTACATTAACATAAGTAACATTTACAGACTATTTATGTGGCAGATACTGTGCTAACAGTGTTATGTGCTTCATCTTATTTATGCTTCTGAGCCCTATGAGGTAGGTATCATTATTACTCAGATTTCACATATAAGGAAACCTGAGGCTCAGATAGGTTAAATGAGTTACCCGAAGTCCAATGGCTTATTAAGTAAACCTGGGTCTCGAACCCAGGTCTCTGACTGTCTGTACTCAGCTACAAAGATACAGCAACAGCTGCCTTTGAGTACTTTTTATGTATAAGAAAGGACCTGCTGTTCTCCGACTTCACAGCTGGGGAAATTAAGGCACTGAAAGATTAAGCAGCTTACCTAAAGTCAGAGTGATTGAGTGGTGGAGCTGGGATTCAAACCCTTTCCCCACATTCTTAGCAATGAGGTTGTTCCCTCACCTTCCCCCGTACCCCAAGCACTCCTGGATCTCAACACTACAACATTCTTCAGCATCATTCCTTCCCCCTTCATATTCTAACATCACCTAATTGCTTAGTTATTCCCCACCCACACAGCCCCACACCAGCACTGCTCTGTAATGCCCCTGCAGCTTACTAAAGCTGGCTCTGCTGCCTAGTGCCCTCCTTTCCTCTTCCTCTAGTTAATATTTCTACTCATCCTTGAACAACTCATCCCAGGAGGCACCTCTTCCAGGGAGCCTGCTTCTCTCTCCTGCTCCCTCTGTGGCTCGGTGCCCCTCCTGTCTGCTGCCAACAGTACCTTATACATCTTTCTATCACATCCTTTTGTGCTGACACAGCTTTGATGCCTCTTTTCCTCACCAGACTGCATGCTTCTCTGAGGCAAAGATGACCCACACTCATAGAAAGGCTCATACTCAGTGTGTACCCCCAGTATCTCCCATAGTTCCCAGACACTGTGAGCACTCTAAATGCTTTTATAAAGCTAAACTGAGGCCCTGGATGCTGTGGCTCAGTGGATTGAGCACCAGCCTGTGAAACAAAGGGCCACTGGTTCAATTCCCAGTCAGGGCACATGCCTGGGTTGTGGGCCAGGTGCCCCGGTGCCGGGTGTGTGAGAGGCAAACAGACATTGATGTTTCTCTCTCCCTTCCCCTCTAAAAATAAATAAAATCTAAAAAAAAAAAAAACTAAACTGAGAGCAAGCAACTTGTTCAAGGCACACAATGAAGCTGCACCAGGGCTAAGATCAGTTGGGGATGTTATACCCCTGATCCAGCACTGTTAAAACAGCTTGTCAATCAGTGGAACCTAAAGGGATGACAGCTACAAGATATTGTGCCCTTCAGAGATATTTGCCCCACTACACCATATGAATATTGCTATGTTGTACCATAGGAGAGATTGGAAGGCATTCTACTAAACTACATTTCTGCTGTGAGCAACCATAAGGAGTCTAGTGCTTCGATATGATCATCTCAACAAAGGCAGAGGGTTCTTGAAAAACTCAGTAGAGTTTGCTCCTGGGCTAAGCCCAATAAAAATCAAAAGAGTAAGCCCTGGCTGGCGTAGCTCAGTGGATTGAGTGTGGGCTGTGAACCAAAGCATCGCAGGTTCGATTCCCAGTCAGGGCACATGCCTGGGTTGCAGGCCACAGCCCCCAGCAACCGCACATTGATATTTCTCTCTTTCTCCCTCCCTTCTCTCTCTAAAAATAAATAAAATCTTAGAAAAAAAAAGGAGACTAAATGATAATGGAAAAATATAATAAAGATTACATATTTAAAGAAATCAAAAGCGTAACATACACCATTGTCCACACCCCCTAAAAAAACATGCACCCCTCCCCCAATAGCACTGCCATTGGGCAGTTTTCAAATTATAGCTATTGACCCACCTCTCTATTTTAGCCTGTCTTTGAGATGCCATAGCAACGAGGTTAGGATGAGCCATGGAAGAACTAGCTGTGTTACTTTCAGCTGAGTTGTTCTTGGTTTTAGGCAACTCAAACTCTGCCACGTGATAGTGTTGGCACTGAGTTAAGTAGATTAAAAAGTGTTCTCGAGCCCACTGCAAATCATCTAGCCGCTTGCTGGGGTTGACTTGTTTCAGAGCGAGCGCTCCTTGAAGTGCTGGCACCATCAGGTACTTCAGATCGGAGGAAGCAATCTCTTCCAAGTCTTCATTATGGCTGGAAAGAGCAAAGAGGAGGCTGTGAAGCCTAGTTGGTCATTCAAACGGTGGCCCTTGCTTCCTGGAGGAGGGGAGGGGTGGGGTGGGAATGAGGCAAAGGGAGGAGACAAGGGGAACAGCAGCCGGTTTTCTTCAATGAAACGTGGCTGAGCGGTCACACCCAAAGCCTCTGCAAACAGCCCATGCTATGTAACAGAGTCGTGGAATATTGACTATACGGGAGAGAGATGGAGAATGTAAACAATACACACGAGATCACAGTGGGAGGTAAGCACGAAAGGTCGCTAGTCTTAAAGGTCTCCCTCCACCCCGGCTCAATGGCTCCACCCCTGGTAACCATGATTACAGTACCTTCATTGTCAGCGATTACCCTCTCCCTATACCTGAACAAGTCAAGCTGCAGTAACATCTCGGCCGACTGCTTCAGGAGGTGTAGTCCTTTCAACACCTTCTCTTGCACTACTCGGGCACCGGTGGGTTCCGCCGCTACTTCCACTTCCTCCAGAAGCCGCTGGCAGGTATCGAACAGCTCAGGGAGGCGCGGCGGGAGTAACTCCTCTTCTTCGGCGGCCGCCATCTTGCGGCAGGGAGGAAGCGGGAAGACTTCACTTCCGGGGTTAAAGGCAACCTTGCGAAAGCTCTCCGCGTGGGCCGACGGAACCGGAAGGAGCCCTACCTCGGCCGTCGCCCATTGTTCCCGGCGCGCCCAAGGTCCGCCGGAAGCAGCTGTTTGCCGGCTCTGGCAACCGTTTCCATGGAGTCGGTTGGAAATCAAAACCCTCCAACCGAGCTGCCCCTTACTAGGGGAGCAGGACCCTCCGCGCGGTTTTACGGCTAGCCCCTCGTCGCAGCTGCAGGGCTGGGAAGCTCCTTGGCTCTGAGGCCCGGATGGGGCGGGGCGGGGCGGGGCGGGGAGGGGCGGGGCGGAATACTGAGCAAGCCCCAGCGCGCTTCCGGAACCGGCCCGCCACGCGCCTCTCCCTGCCGCGGGCTGGCCTTGCTTCGGGCCGCGGCAGCGGGGGCTCCAGCCGCCGCGCTGCACTCTGGGACCGCAGGTCTGGGCGCGCGAGCGCGAAGTGCAAGCAGCGCCCCTCTCTGGCTTCTATCCAGCCACAGCTGGAGCTCTGCGATCCTCCCAGTCCAGTCCTCTCCCATCACTTCTTCACGTCACTCTCCACACACACTTCCATTCAAGTTTTCCCCTGTGAAACTTTCCTTGTCCCACCTCTCAACCAAGTCACAGTTCTGTGCATATCTCTCAGAAAGCACCTACAACGTATTGCCGTTAGTGATCGACAAATCTAGCGCCCTTACCAGACAGGATGAGTCTAGTTTTTGCACCCCTCTGGATAGCTCAGTGTCATTATGTGAATAGAAAAATAAGTGATCGGTTTGGAAAGCAGCCCAGTTGTACAGAACTTGCACTGGTCATTACATAGCCAGTAGCCACGTGGGGCTATCGAGCACTTGAATGTAGCTATTTTGATTTGAGATGTACTGTATATGTGAAACACTAGATTTTGAAAAATTATTATGAAACAAAAATATAAGATATCTCAGTGTTTACCCTGACTACACTGTTGAAATGCTTATATTTTGTATGTTTGGGTTAAATATGTTAAAATTAATTTCACTTGCGTCTTTTTACTTAATGTGGCAACTCGAAAACTTAAATTTACAAAACGGGCTCACATTTGTGGGTTACATTTTATTTCCACTGCACAGTGCTGATGTCAAAATATAATCTGGGGAAGGCTTTGCTCTGAAAAAATCAAAATAAGTACATACTGATTACCTTTGAACATACTCCAAGTTGTCCTGCTCCGGAAAGTAAGCTTTTAAACTAAATGTGGTTAAGAAGAAAACATTTTTCATGCAAAAACAACTAGAGGGCAATATAGGACAGTATATAACTAGGGGATATGTCACATTGCACAGGCTGTTGGAAAACTAAGAAATGACAAGTCATTCTATGGCAGGAATTCAGAAAGCTTCTTAGACATGACATGCTGTCACAGAATTGCATAGTTGGACGGGGACTCAAAAATCCTAGGGAAAAACTGACACTAGAAAGGTTCATTGACTTGCCCAACCAGTTGTGACAAAATCAGTGTCTTCTAAATTCAATTGTTTTCACTCCATCAATCTTAAATTGAGTGGCTTTAAAAAAGATGGACAGGACCTTTTATGTGGGGCAGAATGAAGCCCTTAGCTATAAAAAAAATGCTTTGAGAGAGAGGGAGTGGGACACAAGTGTAGCTTGATAAAGCTTCCCAGATGATTCGAATAAACTTCCCCTTACAACCCCTGCCCCTCCACTTAGAAGCTGAGGAGAAGGGAGGCTCTGGAAAATTACCTAGTATTTGACTTGTCTGGCATTTCTTATGACTCTAGTTAGGCTGAACTTCTGGGGTCAGCCTTGGCCAGGGATACAAAGAACAAAGATAGTACTTGTGGAGGAGACCTGGAAACAGTTAAGTGTGAGACTGAAGAAAATTTGCTGCTGGTCTGGCTCAGTGGATTGAGTGCGGGCCTGCGAACTAAAGGGTCACCGGTTCGATTCCCAGTCAGGGCACATGCCTGGGTTGCGGACCAAGTCCCCAGTCCAGGGTGTGAGAAAGGCAACCACACACTGATGAAACATCTTTCTCTCCTCCTTCCCTTCTCCTCTCTCTAAAAATAAATCAGTAAAATCTTCTTTAAGAAAGAAAATTTGTTCCTGTGCATTTGCTGGGATGAAGACATAGCTTTACTATTGTCTTAAGAGTAAAAAAATGCTCAGAATTTGAATTTGGTCCTGAACTTTGTAAACCACTTTTTATATGGCATCCAAAATGACAGTCTTTATGGTAGCTGCCAATTATTAATACTGTCAGAGTGCATATTATACATTAAACTTGTCATAAGTATTGCATTGCATCTTATTTTGGGACAATACCAAGATTAAAAAGTGGTTAAAAAGTAATAAAAATTAGTTGTTCATTGTGTTTCTGTGTGTAAAACACTTTATCACACTGAATTAAAGCATCTTGTTGTATATAGGAGGATTTTTTTAAAAGATATTTTCATTTTTACTTATTTTTAGAAACAGGGAAAGGGAGGGAGAAACAGATGGACAGAAAAATCGATGTGCGAGAGAAACTTCAACCAACTGCCTCTTGCACAGGCCCCAACCAGGGACTTGGCCTGGAACCCAGGCATGTGCCCTGACTAGGAATCGAACCGGTGACCCTCTGGTTCACAGGCTGGCACTCAGTCCACTGAGCCACACCAGCCAAGGTGGGAGGAACATTTAAAACATTTAAATAGGTTTAATGGAATCCCTAGCAACGTTCTAGCATGAGTGATAGAAAGCGTCACCTCCCGCTGTTCCCTAGGTGACTCCACCCCTCCCCCATCTGTCACCATGGAGATGAGCATCTCCATTTCTCCCATTCCCCTACTTTCACCCCTAGATGAGCCTCAGAGAGCCCCCTCCCCATCCCCGTAGAAAGAACTCCATGCTCCGCAACCTTTGTTCCAGATCACATTCGGCTTCTCAGGCTGTCACCATAGAAACTGAAAGCCTGGCCCCTGCCCCGCTCATCTCCATGGTGACCCTCAGCCCTCCCCTCCCCGCCCCCCCCCCAAGATACCACCAGGCTCAATCCTCACTGTAAGTCTAGAACCTGGACTCACCCACAGTGGAGGGTGGCTCCCTGTTGTGGCCACAGTCTTTGTCTCTGATCCGCCTGGCTTTGAAGGTAAGGTGATCCCCCCTCTCTCAAAAAAGGGCAAACTCCAGTTTACCCAGCACCAATGAAGTGCCAGGCACTGGGCTGGGTACTGTACATACTGAACTCATTACCAGCCATTTTACGGAGTTTAAGGCAGAGCAGCTCACAGAGGTGAAGTCACTGGGCCTTGCATCCCCTGCTGAGCGCCTTAGCATCTCACTGAAACTGGGGGCCTAGACAACTCTCTTTCCACCATTCTGCTTTTCTGTGCAGCCTTGGACAAGTAGCCTCCTGTCTCTGGGCCTCTGTTTTTCCCATTGTAAAATAAGAGTGTTGGACTAATTGTCATCTTAAATATCCTCTTTTAATGTTGGATCATAAATAGTTCTTATCTTCTCATTGAGGAACTGATTGTTCAGGTATGAATGCTAGAATAAAACTGTTAAGGTGTTTTTTTTTTTTTTAAGTGACATAGTGGAGGTATCCATTTTTTTTCTCCAAACTTTTCTGATCAAACACTCTAAGTTTATTGCTTAGAATCTCTTCTAGGGTTTTTAAAAAGATTTTATTTGTGGTGTCAAGAAAGGCGTAAACTAAACACTTTGCAGCCCTTTCCTGCCCTTGAATATGATGTCTTTGGTGTAGGAGCTGCAAAACTAACAGTGTATAAAAAATGATTTTATGCCCTGGCTGGCGTAGCTCAGTGGATTGAGCACGGGCTGTGAACCAAAGCATTGCAGGTTCAAATCCCAGTCAGGTCACATGCCTGGGTTGCAGGCCACGGCCCCCAGCAACCGCACATTGATGTTTCTCTCTCTCTCTCTTTCTCCTTCCCTTCCGTCTCTAAAAATAAATAAATAAATCTTTAAAAATATTTTAAAAATGATTTTATTTATTTACTTTCAGAGAGAGGGGAAGGGAGGGAGAAAGAAAGGGAGAGAAACATCAGTGTGAGAGAAACATCGACCTGGCCCACAACCCAGGCATGTGCCCTGACAGGGAATAGAACTGGCGACCCTTTAGTTTGCAGACCAGCGCTCAGTCCACTGAGCCTCATGAGCCAGGGCTTTTCTTTTTGAAAGTTCTATTTTGATGTAATACACGGGAAGTCACAGGGAGGTTTGAGGACCCTTGGCCCCACTCCCAGCTCCCTGGAGCAGCCTCTCCACCCTTGGCTTGTGCTTCTCCAAGACTGACCACCAGGTGGCAGTTGGAGCCTGAATTCAGGCCTTACTTGTTCCTCCCAGGACTTCTACCAGACACCTGTGACCGTCTTGCCCAGGACTGTTGGACGTCAGCCTAGGCATGGCCAGGGGATTTTTTTGGAAGCTGTTGAAGTAGGCAGCATTAGTATCTGAAACTTTGCTTGATTTTCTCTTTAGAACATACAAGTTTCTTCCCTGTCCTGCCTTGCTCTGTCTCAAATGGAAGAAGCCACAGATTCTGGCCAGTGGGCTGTCCCCCAAAGGCCACTGCAACCTCTAAGGACATCAGGGCACATGGCCCTAAAGGGATTTCATTTCTACTTCTGCCAGGGTTTAGCAAGTCTCTCCCAGAGTTACTACACCCCTTAACCCGGTAAAGATGAGGCACTTAAGTACCAGGATTAAGCCTAGTGAGTCAGCCTGGGTTTGGATCTCCACAGTGCTGCTTATTAACCCTGTATCCTGGGTTAATACCTGAGGTAGAATCTTTACCTGATGTTCAGTACCTGACCTAGAGTCTTTAAGCCTTAGTTTTCTCAGCTGTAAAGTGGGGATAATAATGGTACCAACCTCGCAGGCTGATGTGAAGATGCAATGGGATAACACATATACATTAGCAGAGAGCCTGCTGTAGAATTAGGCTCAACTGAAGAACAGTTGGGGCTCGGGTGGGGGTAAACAAGACCAGTAATGACAGCAAGTATGAGGAACATGCCATCCAGGTGCCTAGAAGGCTCAAGCGAAGAAAATTGGGAGATAAAGGAAGCCTTCCCAAGAGATCACATTTCAGTTGCAACTTGCAGGACAAGTCAAATTCTTCCAGAAAGTCCAGGTGGAAGAGAATTCCAGGAATAAAGAATAGAATGTTCAGCTAAAGAGATATGGGAACCCACATGGGCGTCTTGCAGTCCCGGTAAGTAGTTAGGTATGCCCGAAATGCATGTTCGTTAGTGGGGCAGTCAGAAGATATCAGCAGGGGCCAGATCACAAGGGGCCTCAGGCGCCTGATGTCGAAGCTGGAATTGATCTGGCAGACACTGTGGAGCCATCGAAGGTTTTCGAGCAAGGAAGTGAATGGTTACAATTATTGTTGGCTTGGAGGCCCAGCTGCCTTGAGGCGGGCAGAGACTGGAGGCAGGTGAGAGAGGAGCTGGGCTTAGAGTAGGGAGAGAAATATATTGGAGATGGAGACCCAGGGATGTACTCCATGTTTTTCCCCCCAGAAGGAGACATCAGCAACCATGGTTTTCTAAGAGTTCATCTGAAAAAGGAAAGAAAGCTACGGCCAGAGAAGTCATGGCACCATTTTTTAAGAAATATGGGTGAACCCTGGCTGGTATGGCTGAGTAGATTGAGTGCTGGTCTGGAAACCAAAGGGTCACCGATTCGATTCCCGGTCAGGGCACATGCCTGGGTTGCAGGCCAGGCCCCCAGTAGGGGGCGCATGAGAGGCAACCACACGTTGCTGTTCCTCTCCCTCTCTTTCTGCCTCCCTTCCCCTCTCCCTAAATAAGTAAAATCTTTAATTAAACAAAAAAAGAGTATTCAAGCCATGGCCAGTGTGGTACAGTTGCTTGGAGCATTGTCCCCTAGACCAAAAAGGCTCGATTCCTGGTCAGGTCACATACCCAGGTTACAGGTTCGATCTCTGGTTGGGGCATGTGGGAGAAGGCAACCAATTGATGTATTTCTCTCTCTCTCTCTCTCTCTCTCTCTCTCTCTTCCTCTCTACAAAAGAAAAATAGAAGTAAAATAAAATAAAAGTACCCAAGGTCCAGCCCACATTCATGGTTTGGAGGAAAATGGAAGCGGCCCAACAGCAAGATCCAGCCAGCACTCAGCCTGCCCCTGGCCTCGCACTGTCTCTGCAGCTCACTGGCAGCAGTGGAAATCCTGCACGCCCTGCCCAAGGCTGCTGCTTTCGCCTCCCTGACCCAGACTGGGGTGAAAATGGGAGTTTGTGGTGAATAAAAAAGGGACAGATACTTATAGCTGCGCACTTTGTGTCAAGCGCTTTATAGGTGTCACTGCATTGCGTCTCCACAGCTACACTCTGAGGCATGTATTAATATGGTTATTTTAAGATTTATTTATTTTTAGAGAGAGGGGGAGGAAGGGAGAAACAGAGGGAGAGAAATGTTGATGTGTGAGAGATACATTGATCAGTTGCCTCTCACATGTCCCCAACCGAGGGCCTGGCCCTCAACCTGGGCATGTGCCCTGACTGGGAATCAAACCAGGACCCTTTGGTTCATAGGCCAGCGCTCAATCCACTGAGCTACCCCAGCCAGGGCAGTACAGTTATTTTATAGGCAAGAAAACTGAGGCTCGGAGAACAGAACTTGCCCAAGATAATTAGGCTAGTTAGTGGTGAGGTGAGGAATTGAACCCACCTGTTTTTACCTCAAAATCCATTTATTCCCAGTGACTTGTGTTCAGGGTCAGGGGGACAACGAGGAGGGGTTGGGGTGGGAGGACAACCTCCCGGGTTGACCCTTTTCCCAACAGAAAGGGCTAGTGTCCTGACTGGTGTGGCTCAATGGGTTGCGCATCGTCCTGCAGACCAGAAGACTGATAGATTCCTGCCACCTGGGTGGCAGGCCAGGTTCCCCGGTAGGGGGCGTGCTCGAGTCCACTGATTGGCGTTTAATGGATGTCCCTCTCCCTTTCTCCCTCCCTTTCCCTCTTTCTAAATAAATAAATAAAATGTTTTAAAAAACACAGAGAAAAGGCTAGAGATAGGTTTCTCCTGTCCTGTGTAGGGTTGCATCTCCAAGTGAGAGCAACTAGGGATAGGCAGGGCCCACTTAAAGACTCCAGAAACGGACTCACTGTTGCCTTTCTCTCCTTTCTTCACCCTGACCTGAGGCAGAGGGTGAGGGGCAGACTCAGGTTTGCTAGCCTCTGGGACAAGCCTTTTCCCCTCTCAGAGCCTTTTGTTGTTTCAGCTTTCAATTGAGTCTCTAAGGTCTGTTGTAGCGCTCACATTCGAGGATTGCATTGATAGCATTGTGCAGTAGGATCGCCTGATACATTCATGGATAGAAACAAATTTCCTGTTGCCATAGAGAACAAGGGTTCTTTGAACTAGAAGAAGATGCGCTGGAGGAGGCAAGATAAAGAGTGGAAAGGGCATGGGGCTTGAGTCAGCCCAACTTGGCTTAAAATCCTGTATACTGGGAAGGTCACTTGAATTCTCTGAGCTTCTGTCATCATCTCTGAAACAAGAATAACTACCCTTACTTCTTGGAATGAGGTGACGTACGTATGTCACACGGACACAGGAGGGGTTCACGACCTTTCTTTGTCAGCAAATGGGGAACAGTTCTTTCTCCTTAATTCTACCCTGCTTTCTCAAGACATGGTTGACAGGACATAGTTTTTGATTGATGAGAGAGAGAAAGAGAGAGGGAGAGAGAGATAGGGAGAGATAGGGAGAGAGAGAAGGAGGGGAGAGAGAGAGGGACAGAGACATCGATTTATTGTTCTACTTATTTATGCATTCTTTGGTTGATTCTTTTTAAATTATTTTATTTTATTTATTTATTTTTAGAGAGAGGGGAAGGGAAGGAGAAAGATGGGGGAAAGAAACATCAATGTGTGGTTGCCTATCGCGTACCGCACTGGGGAACCTGGCCCACAATCCAGGCATGTGCCCTGACTGGGAATTGAACCAGAGACCCTTCGGTTCGCAGGCTGATGCTCAATCCACTGAGTCACACCAGCTAGGGCCCTTGGTTGATTATCGTGTGCTCCCTAGCCAGGAATCAAAGTCACAACCTTCACGTGTTGGGGACGATGCTCTAACCCACTGAGCAACCGAGCTAGGGCCAGGATTCTCTTTTCTCTCCCTGACCATGACAGCCAGGCTGAGTGTTTCCTGCCAGGGCCTTGGCTTCTAAACTTTGCTGGTATTGTTCCCATGCAGTGTGAAATAACTCTGCCTCCCTCACAACCTTCTAAAAGTCCTGGGGCTGGGGGTAGGTGGGGGACAGTGCAACTGGTGCCAGACTGACGCTTGGTCTGTCAGGACAACTAGCTGAAGCATCCTGGAAGGGCTGCTGGGGTGGGGTGGGACCCTCACAGGAACTCAACCAGCTTCACTGGCTTCTCTCCCTCATCCTAGTATCCAACTTTCTGGACCATAAGCATCTGGCTAACGACTAAGTACTCTAGTCCTTGTGTCACCTTTAGGTGTGGACCCCTCAGCCAACTGCCTCCACAGTGACATGAATGTTTACCAGGTAGACAAAGTCCAATTTCGGGAAATGTCTCCGACAACCACATGACTCACCTGGCCCGGGGCATCCCCTTTGTAGCTGGCTATAAACCCGAACAACGACATTCTGGAAAGGCACTGGTTTGTCCTTGCTGCAGGCACTCACCCGGGCCAGGAATTCTTCACATCTCTGCCTTCCGCCTCCCCAGCCTGTGGGAGCACCTCATGAGCCCCATGGGGT